TTGTGAAGCTGCGTGGAGTGCGTTGCCGTGTGACCTACACTGCGAGCTGACGTCGGCGCCTTTGTCAAGCAACATCTGCACTGTTTCACCATGGCCTTCTCTCGTTGCTAGATATAGTGAAGTACACACCATATTGCACCCCGATTTGACGTTGAGTTCCCATTGCGAGAGTATGAACTGCACTATGGAGGTCTTGCCTGTCTTTGCTGCTATACGAAGCACCGTTTCCGAAAATTCTTTTTGGATATGGTCGGGACCGATATGATCCGATAAGATTTTGAACAGGTTGGGCTTCCCTAATTCGGCGGCGTAATGTAAAACTGAGCGTCCCCTAACGTCTAACACTCGTGAATCTGCTCCAACGGTCAGAAAGCGCTTTACCGCTTCCTTGTGTCCTCCCCTCACGGCCTCGTGTAGGGGAGTTCTTCCACTATCATTTTGTGCTTCAATATTCGCATTTTGTTCCAGTAGGTATTCAATAACACTCAGTTGTCCTGTTCTTGCCGCACAATGAAGAGCAGTTGAGCCGTCATCCCCTTTCATTGATATCCCAAGCCCCGATCCATGTACCATTTTCAAAAGCTCGACTTGTCCTGCTGAAGCCGCTTCTAGGAACTCTTTACATCCTCCAACCCTCTTGCCTGAGTCTAAAATGCCCAAGGGAGTGCTTGTCTTGAACTGGTGAAGCTGAGAGTCGATCCGGAGCCCGTGTATCCGGCGTCGATGTTGCTGCAAATTGTCTTTCCGTGTCGTTTTAAACGCGCACCACGGTACTTGGCAGAAGTGTTTCGTGATGACTATTTGATGTTGGGTCCTTGCATGTCGAGAAACATCCGCTCGCAACGCGAATCGACGTTTGCATGTTTTGCACTCAAAAGGCTTTGAATGTGTTTTACGATGTTGACTACATATATTAGTCAGGTACAGCCTATTTCCTACTACTAGAATACTCTTACTTGAATGTCTGAAGAGTCTTAAATCTTTTCGGACAAATTCCACACGGTAGAAGCCCATCTACACGAGTTGGATAAGTAGCCATCGATCGGTGAATATATAGAGGGGTGATTAGCTGCTTGATATAAGAGCTCCCTTAAGATGTAGCTTCTGCCTGGAGCTATTAAACCCTTACCACGGTTTAAAAGGCTGAACTTCACGCCAAGATCTGAGGCTGTTTCAATAGATAGATCTCGCAGGGGCCAAGTCTATTATTGGTTGCCCTTCCTCCAGCGCCCAACCCAACTTCTAGGCCGATATCATTTTAACTTGCATGTTCATCCGACTCATTCTATACCCTTCGGACCTTTCGCCTCTACACGAGAGGCAATCGAACGCACCCTCAAACCTCACTAGCTTTCCCATCTTGACTACCCAGTTCTTTATCGCTGATACTCACCGACACCTCCATAAGATTAAGCAAAAGCTTACGTCTCTACCTCATAGCTACCTCGCAAATCACGTCCGCCATTATGGAGTCTACAACTAGTTCTGGAAAGATCTGGACCTCCTTTCCCGCCTCACAGGCGGAGGGGAACAACTGCAGCGTTGGGTGGGTTTTTTTTTTAGCTGACGCAGTTATGCCTTAGTTTCGCACCACATCCTCAAACCAACCCTCCTTTCACCTATGCGTTCCACGCCACCGAGGACCTCGCTTGCCGGCATGCCAATCCTGCCGAACGCCATATCGGGACCGCACTGCAACAACAGTCACTTTACAGTGGAAATGGAGGCAGTGCTATCGACAACTTTCTGCTATTCAATGAGATCTCCATGGGATACTCTAAACTCGATGAATTTTCCAATTTTCATCAAAGCCCGAATGTTCCTGTATCAACCGGATGGCTGAACCTGACCAAACGCCGCACCAATCCTGGCGATGTCGGAAGCTTCGCCAACTTTCACAATGGCGAACAAACTACTGACCTTTATTTCGCCAACCACGCATCCAGCAGCACGTCTACGTCCCATTTTGACCCTCCATTCGGGTACGACAACCACTTTGCTGGAAACCTAGGCGGTGTGAGATGGCAAATGGATGCTTACCCCACCGCTCTTTCGACTTCGACCACAATTGACGAAGGGCAACCAATGAGCGATACACCGATTCTGCAGCCCGATACCACAGCTTCGCTTAGCCAAATAGCTCGCACGCCCCTTCGTCCAATTCCTGCCGGAATATCGAAAAGGCGCCAAAAAGGCGGTGTTCCTTGCCCAAAAGGCTGTGGCACGACTTTAAGTCGCCGTCATGACATCGGTCGTCATTTAGCCCAAAAACATACGGAGGCTACGCTGCGTTGCCCAGTCGATGGATGCATCAAACTCTTTTCTCGTCCTGACAAGCGATCTGACCATCTAAAGAAAGGCCATAAACTCGGCGCTAAAGATATTGCCATGCTCTCCGCGGCGAATCTTGGGGGAGAGAAGATGTGAGCGTGTCAACATGCGAATTGGATGTAACCTGGGCAGCCTACTTTGTGCAAGTGGTGGCTTTGTAATGCGGTAGTGACGTTTTAATTGTTCATTCTTTTTCGTGTTCTTGCGTCCTTGCTATACTGGTTTTGCTATTTATCCCCTCCTAAAACAATTAATAAACCAAAAAAAAAGTTAGTGAAGGCTAGTATTGCTTTTAGGTGTTGTGAGTTAATGATTCCTTAATTCTTAGCTGTTAAAGAATATATATATTTAAGTGTTTACTTGACTGCATGGCCAACAGCGAGAAGTTTCCTCTCCACTCTGCAACGGCGCAACTAAACCAAACCATTCCCAGTTGTAGAATTTATTTATGCAGATATTACTTGATTACATAACCGACCCCGAGAAGGTGGTCGTTCTGCTCAGCAATGGCACGGATGTGATGCCTCCATAATAGCCAAACTCTAGTGCCATCCATGACCGATCTACTTCAAGCTAGAACATATTTCAATTATCTCTTCGCCGCTTGCTTGAACTTAAACGTCCATAACCCACATCTTGTGACTTAGTTGGTATAAATCCCGGACAAACATCTAAAATACCGAACTACCCCTGGACATCAGGGAAGGCCTCGTTACTATAATCATACTTACAACTAACGTTTTTTACATTCTGCCTTCACCCTCGCTCCTTCTCTACGGCTGGGAATATTCCTAGAACCTGCTTCTCTCCCCACTTTCCTTTACACCACTTTTATTTCCTGGCTTAGATTCGCTCAAAGCGCTTTCTGCAGCAAATTGAACCACCTAAAAGTCTTTGAGCTTCAGACTTTGACTAGGCTGGTGAAGCTTAAAATTCATGCTATGTTAGCTCTGTGAAAGCCCGGTCCCCGGCTGGTTTGATTCAGCAGTGCTGGCATTCAAAAGCTCATGCACCCTTATCAGCCGCTCCCCGTGGACCCTTGGCGTGGGTATTGTCTCCTCCACGAGTGTCACATTGTCACATATCCACAGTGGTAACGCAAAATCCTAGAGTCCAGCTGCAGATGAGTTTCATCTCCACAGTTCAGATTACGTAAACAACACGAACAAAGACACAGAGCCTATGATCTTATATTGATATCACCTTCTAAACCCTATATGTTCCTACAGACCCTCCCATCCCTAAACACCAACCCGGCCCTCACCAAAAACGCACTCACTCCAAGCTAATCCAAAAACCAAACAACATTTAAAATCCACAAGAAAAAAAACCGCAGGGTATACATGTACTCCGCATTCCAGCCCATTCATATCTCGCCGGAAAACGCCACTTGTGCTTAAACGCTTCCAAGATAAAAACCTAAATTGTAGAGAAGGAAAAGGGTGAAGACCATGAGGTATGGAGGGGCATGAGAGACTGAGCTCTCTATGTACGTTTACTGTAGGGTTATGAAAGTGGATGACAAAGGGAATGAGGGAAGGGATATCAAAACTTGGAGAGACGGGAACATAGAACAGAAAAGTGCTTGGGTTGGTAGCGGATAAAGCCGAGGCCGAATCCATAAGCCGCCTCAACAGCCAACATCATGAAAAACGAAAGGAGAAGATCTCGACACGGGGATCGATGTGATTAGACGTCTCCCATCTCTACTTCTCTGCTACTCCAGGGCCGCAAGAACTCGGCTTCGCCAAAGTCGGTCGAGCTTCCCACGACCCTTTCCTCCCTCTCCTCGGCATTTTCCAGATCTAGATCCATGTCCTGCTCTTTTAGCAGCACTCCATTAGCCTCGATTATCCGACCGGCAGCTTGCCGCCTTGTCTTCGGTTGCGCGAAAGGCCGGAGAGCGGTTTGCTGGAGCGAATTGATGGACTGCGAGGGTGTTGCCGAGAGCGGAGAGACTGGAACCTCGTCTTCAGAAACCTGGACTGGGAAGGCAAAGAGGAAGTTCGTATTCATATTCAGCGGCTTCCCCTCATCCTCGTCATATGAGCGCTTGTGTGGATTCATGGGATTCGGCGGCGCTAATTCGGTCGACACGGAAATCGTCGAAGTGTGTGATGAGAAAGGCGTGTTGAAAGCTTCCGCAGGCAGAGGAAACGCATTCACAGGCCGATCGCCGTGCTCGTCGGTTCCACCATACAGATGCACATTCGTGACGGGTTGCTCCGCAAACCCGCCAATCTTGTGCAATCCACAGAACGGCAGCAACTCTCTCTGATGCTGAACGACGGCTGGCACCGGTTCCCGAGGCGGCTTCACGCTATACGCATCGCTGCGGCTATTCGCAGCGCTGGGATTCGTCATCGGCGCACGAGAAATCGTGGTTTGGATCGACGGCAGCATGGCTGGGGTTTTGTGCGTCTTGTAGCCCTCAGGCACGCTCTTCCTCACCCTCATTCCGACAGACAACAAGTTCGCCTGGACTGTCGCAGGGATGGGGGGGATGACACTGTGGTGATTCTCGTGCGCAGCTCTCTCTCTAGGGTGACGTTGACTTCGGGTAATCGGACCTGCGCCCCGCAACAGCTCCTCCGCGTCGTCGTAGTCTTGGCCCTCACGCACAAAGAAGCTGGTGATGGAAGGCTGGAAAGGGCGTTTATCGCGGTGGGTCGTCGAGGGCGAGGATATGTGGCGCATTGTGGAGCCAGAAAGGGGATGCAGAGTTCACGCAGATGTGAGGTGGTTTCCGCGGGAGGGGGATTCAACCCTGGTCCTGGAGCTGAAAAGGGAATAATGTCAATGGCTCTCAGCGGCCAATGCGAGCAAGGTTCCGGGGTCCGACACAATCAATAATTTGTGAGCGCTGCTTGGCGGCTAAGTTTGAAGCAAAACGAAGGCGAGAAGAAATCGAGGGAAGGAGGGGATGGCGGATGACGTTGGAAATTGGTTGACCGCGGGACAGACGCGATGCCAGGGACTTTGACGCGTTGAGCCAGCAGATCCGCAACGCCAGCCGCCAGCCTTTCATTAAGATGAATCAAGCCTAACTGCTCCGTCGGGGCTTGAGTGAATGGCTACAGGGTCTAATTTTGGCACCTCGCGGGTCTCATACACATGGAAGGCGAATATCCACTTCACACGCAACTGGGGTGGTAGGTGAGTGATATCCCGCCCCTTCGTGGATGTCAATGCCCGCCTCCTCTCCTTAGCTTGAGTGTAAGCAAACGGGTGTCAATTGCACTTTCTCATCACCTATAAAGCCATTTGAAAGGCAGTCAAGGTTCTTTGGACCGAGCTGCTCGAGCTCTAATAGATCTGTCTTGGACTGCTTTTGCAATTGAAAAAGCTCGCCGTCCACGCCTCAAGCGCCGCGAACGCCAAAAAAGCTACAGGTATTTCATCGCCCCAGTTGCCCGAATCAAGAATGCAAGTCGGAAAGAAAGACCCGGTGACCTTTACCCGGCTCTCTGGTAGATGCCGCACACCATAGCGTGATCACGCTCGAAAGGCTCCAACGTCAGCTGCTCCTTGGGCTTAATCCTCTGTTCCCTTAGCTTGTTCACTTCGGCTGCAAAGACAGCTTCTGGGGCCGCCGTGGAGTCGATACAGTTAGCCTTGATGGAGACAAGCACTCCACCGCCAACTTTGAGGAATAGATGAGCATTGAGGCCGACAATACGAGCCTGATCGGGCTGGGCGACATCGGCGAAGATGCAGTCGACCATGCCAACGAGCATGCGGTACTTTAGCGGGTGACGAGCGTCTTCTGTGGTGGTTGTTAGCAAATAAATTTTATATGGCATAGAAATAAGATGTAACATACCAACAATGGGAATAACGTTCGTTCGGTGGGTGGCCATATTGATTAGATCACGGCCTGATCGATGCGAGAACTCAACAGCAAATACAGTTCCTTCTGGCCCTACGATATCTGCCACGTGAGACACCGACGTGCCAGACGCAGCACCAAGATACAGAACCTTTGAGCCTGGTCGCATGTAGATGTCATCAATGCCGCCGAGGATACCAGCGGCAAGCTTGCTTCGGAAAGGGTTCCATACACGGTACTCGGTTGAAGTCGCAGGGGCATCGCCATTGACAGCATTGGGGTTGGAGACAGAGATTCGCTTTTCGCCATAGACTGATTCGCCAGGAGTGAGGTTTTTGGTGACAAGGAGATCCTCTTTGCCACGGGCGACAAATACACCAGCATGTCGGTGGGGTTCGATGATGACCTTCCTGTGCAATTATTAGTCCCGATTTAGGTAAGAAAAAGCCTCGCTTTGTTCGCAAACATAGAGACCGTTATTCTGGGTTTGATCCAGTGGGTAGCTTGCAAGTAGCTTGCGAGATTCTAGCTCAAAATCTTGATGCTGAGTCTTGGAGAAAGTTCACTTACACTCCACCCCTCGCACCACCTCCGCCTCTTGGAGCGCCCCTTCCACGGCCTCCACCTCTCGGGGCTCCTCTGCCACCTCCCCGACCGCGATCGCCAAATCCGCCTCGTCCACCACCACGGCCACCTCCCCGACCACCTCGATCACCAAAGCCGCCTCTGCCACCTCTTGCGCCGCCACGTCCTCCTCTTGGTGTAAAAGCCATTGGAGCAATGGCTTTATAAATGCCCGTAATATGAATGTGCCTGAAGAGCGGGCAGTCTTAGGTGGGTCGAAATTTGGGATGGGATAGCTTTACAGAGCAGCTTCGAGCGAGCAGGTGGGAAATTTTTCGAGAGGCAAGCTCGAAGTCTTGGCTGCATCGCTTAGGCTAGCGCCACTCGTCGGGCCGGTGTTTCGCCGAACACACAAGTCGAATTTGGATCCTGACGACGAGAACTTCGACTTCATTGAACACCCGAGGATTCATCGCCCCCCCACACGACACGATGGTATGTCCCAACCTTCCTCATCGCATATAAATCGATTGGGCCCTTGCTGCGTTGTGCGATGCCGACTTTATCTGGGTCCTGGGTGGGCGAGAGGCTGATTGATTGCACCACAGGTCCGCTACGCAGCAACGAGTATCGACAATGCAAAGTCCGCCCGAGCTCGCGGCAGCTACCTTCGCGTCTCCTTCAAGAACACCCGCGAGACGGCCCAGGCCATCAACGGATGGAAGCTCAATCGCGCCGTGACCTACCTTGAGAATGTCTTAGAGCACAAGGAAGCCGTCCCAATGAGGCGATATGCCGGAAGCACCGGTCGATGTGCACAGGGTGAGTGAATACTCCCGCCGCTGCCGCCTCCTGATGTGGATCTTTGGGGTTTATTGTCTGAAGAGGCGGAATATTGCGATGAGGTTGACATGGGCGCTCTGGAGAGGGATTTGCGCAGGACTGTTACTTGGAAGCATGGCTGATACAAGTGGCAACAGGCAAAGCATTCGGCGTTTCCAAGGCCCGCTGGCCCGTCAAGTCCGCCGAGTTCCTTCTCGGTCTCCTCAAGAACGCCGAGGCCAACGCCGACACCAAGGGTCTCGACACCACCAACCTGATCGTTAAGCACATCCAAGTGAACCAGGCTCCCAAGCAGCGGAGGCGCACATACCGTGCCCACGGTCGTGTATGCGATATATTCTCTTATAGGCAGCATCTAGCTCCGGGGTTCACCGAATCGACTAACGCCTCCTAGATTAACCCCTACATGTCCAACCCATGCCACATCGAGCTGATCCTGGCCGAAGGTGACGAGGTCGTCCAGAAATCTGCGGCTGCTGAGCGTGACCAGTCCCGATTGAACTCTAGGCAACGTGGTGCTCGCACTCGTGCCGCTATTACTGCGTCGTAGAGCATTGGGAAAAGTCGAGGTGGGACGACATTGAGGTAGACGAGAAGCTGATGAAATGGGCAGCAGTGGGTTCGGCAACGGCATGGGAGTCAATGAGCGAATGAATCATAGGGTCTTTTCCACCTCCATATGTGCTCCGGCATTGATTGAGCTTCACTTTATCAGGTGTCTGGTCGATAAAATTATATTAGGTCTATACCTGCTTCCATACGGTGCTTCTATTCATGCTGTCTCAATTCCTAACACCGTTTCGAGGACTTTCAAGGCATAGCTTCAATATCTAGCATTAACGCCACACCGTTGTAGCACGATACAAGGCCCCGAGAATATTGGCGCTAATTTTTCAATAGCATTGGCGAACATGCCTCTCTAAACCATCGAACTTTCAAGCAAGCATACAACTAGGGTTTTTGTTCATTTCAAAAACCTCAGGCACGGACGGGAAGGAAGTCATTGAGGTATATTGCCCAACCTACATTATCTACCAAAAGCTAATCAAATAAATCGTAGCGACCAATATCGTACACATCCACTCACTCGATCCTCTCACCATTGGCCCCACCCATTGCCCCCTTGCCCTCATTGCACGCCCTTCTTCCCCTCCTTACCCCTCAAATACAGCGCCCCAAGCTCCACCAACCCCAACTTTATCAAATAGCGCAACCTCATCCCCCGTCCTAAATGCGCCAGACCACGCATACTTCTCCCTATTTTAGCTCGTCTAGATATGGCAACGACTGGTTCATCATCTGTACCGTAGCATCCCCGTCCTGTTGCGGAAGCGCCATTTCCGTGATCCAGATCTTCAATTTAGGAGAGGATGGGGTGGTATGATTGATATTGTATAACTCGCCAAGTGTACCAAGCCACACTGCTAGACCAGCGAAATCGCCGTACCAGTGCACGGCGATGAATTCTGTGGGACAGCCGTTTTCGGGGTCGACGGAGTAGAACGAGGAGCTGAGTTTTCGCAGCCAGTCCAGCCCTGGTGTAGAACCTGTGACGGATGGGTGGGGAATATTCCAGCGTCGATTAGAGATAGAGTTTGCGTGTGAGCCATTGCGGTATGGGACAATCGATTTGATATACGCTTTCGCTGCATCCAGGGGACTGATGTCACTATCACCAGATGAGGTGCTTCCATCCGGTTCGTTGAATGTTAGAAGGTGCCGAGATGAATCTGGTAGTCCGTTGATCAGACGCATAGTGTTTTCATCTGCAATGGTATTCAGGCCATGGATCAACGGCGTGAATTCTAGTGTGTTGGACGACATTTATTGGGTTGCTGGATATGGAGACCAATTGTAGTAACAGGATAGAGGAGAGGATGAACGTAGGAGGAGGGAGTTGTCGGATGTGTAGGTGTGGCCTAGGTAGGCAACTCCGCGTTTTGTGGTGGTGGTGTTTGCTGCGGAAGTCAGGGGGGTTAGGGTTTTGACGGCTAACGGGAGGAGGAAGAGGAGTTGGCTAGGTAGCTCTGGTATTCTTCGCCGTGCTAGTGTGAGAAGAGATGTGGGGAAATGTGCTAAGCCCATGATGCTAATACTCTGCTTTGATACTTCCTGTCTGGAACCAGATGTCTATGAGCGCTCTAGATTTTTGAAACCCGGGTTGTTGCAAATTGAGCCGCAATGTAGGCTACAAAACTGATCTTCCATATCTATACTACGAAGGGCGAAATGAGCGATCCTTAATTGAAATTGGCTCTCAAGGCCATGATAAGAAGCGTGGCGAAGCAGCACAGTACATGATCGCTAGATATTGCGTCGTACATCTAACCTGGCAGGACCTTTTGGTCGACGACATTGACGAACAGGTATGGAAGTCAAGGCACTAGCAAGAGGCTGATGAAGATTTGGGCACTGGCAATAAGTTCCTACGTGTGAACAATTGTGACAATGTAATGCTCTTTGGTGTTGATGTGAGTTTAGAGAATCTTGCTTGGCACTAGCTCCCTTATGATTAGTGCGCTTTTCTATTCACTTATACAAGAAAGGATTGCTTTAAAGTTAACTTCAGGGAGGTTCCAACCGAATACTATATATACAATGGCCAATTTCGCTGACCTTCGACCTCATCCAAATCCGTTACTTTTAAAAAGGAAATTCCATCAGTCGTGACTCATTACTCATTCCGCCATGCATTCAGAACATTTATCCATAATTGCCGTCTATAATCAACCGCGAAGACGCTTAGTCGTAGAGATCCATACCTCCATCGACCTCATCCTCCAACTCGTCGATCGCATCAGACTCATCATACATCTCGCTATCCTCCTCCGAATCCGTATGGTTTGGTAGAACTTGGATGTGACCATCCTCGAGCACCACGCGGGCCACCTCTCCGTCTTTAATCGAACCGCGCAGGATCATGACGGCGAGCCTGTTGAGGACTTCCTTCTCGATCAATCGCGCGAGCGGTCTGGCGCCGTAAGCAGGTGAGTATCCAGCCGAGCCGAGATAATCGCGGACTTCGGTTGTCATGTCGATCTTCACATTGCGCCCGTTAGCCAAGAGACGTTTCTGGATTTCAATCATGCGGACGTCGACGATCTTGCGAATTTCCTTCTTGGTGAGGCGGTTAAAGATGACGATGCTGGATATACGGTTGAGGAATTCCGGAAGGAAGTAGCCGCGCAGAGCACCCATGACCATCTCCTTTGTTGTTGGGTCAATACGGCCATCTGGAGAGTTGGGTCGGGCTAGGTATTCAGCGCCGAGATTGCTAGTCATGACGACAATACAATTCTTTGCATCAACGATACGGCCTTGGCCGTCAGTAATGCGACCATCGTCCATGAGCTGCAACAGAACTGTGAGGACTTCCTTTGCGGCCTTTTCCACTTCATCGAACAGGAGAATGGAGAAAGGGCGTCGGCGAAGAGCCTCGGTAAGTTGGCCTCCGGCATCGTGTCCGACGTACCCTGGTGGTGCGCCAATCATCCTACTCAAAGAGTGACGTTCCTGGTATTCAGACATGTCAAACCTAATCATTGACTTTGGGTCGTCGAACAGGAACTCGGCGAGTGCCTTTGTAAGCAGCGTCTTGCCAGTACCAGAGGGACCACAGAAGAGGAAGCTGGGTGGTTGATTCGGGTTTGCGAGACCCGAGCGTTGCAGTCGGATAGCATTCGAAACGGACGTGACTGCTTCTCTCTGGCCAACGACAATCTCGCTGAGGTGGCGTTCCATGTGGAGCAACTTTTCTTTCTCAGTCGTCCGGAGGCGGGTAACTGGGATGCCAGTCCAGCGGGCGACAATTTCGTTGATTTGGTCTGGTCCAACGGCGTCAGTGAGAAGAGCGGTGCCTGATCCGCCCTGGCGGCTCCACATGTCGGCATCCGCCCTCGCTTTCTCCTTCTCAAGCTCGACAATGCGTTGTTCGACGTCGGGGATGGCGTAGTACTTGAGGTCGGAAGCCGTTTGGAGGTCGCGGATACGTTCAGCCTCGGCGAGCTTGTTCCGGAGATTCTCGAGCTTGATCTTAGCATCCTGAATCTCCTTGCCACGTTCCTTCTCCCTTTCGTAACTCTCACGAAGAGGCTTCAATTCCTCCTCTACGTTGGCAGCCTCCGCTTTGGCTTCCTTTAAACGAGCACGAGCAGCCTCATCCTTCTCGCGCTCGAGGGCGTGAATTTCGATCTCCAGCTGGCGAAGGCGGCGCTCGAGGTTATCGAGTGCTTCTGGCTGCGATTCTCGAGTGACGCGAACTGCGGCTGCAGCCTCATCAATCAAGTCAACCGCAGAGTCGGGGAGCCGACGCTGTGTAAGGTACCGAGCGGCTAGCGTGGCAGCGGACATAATAGCGCCGTCTAGAATAGTGACACCATGATGGGTCTCGTATCGCTCCTTCAATCCTCGGAGGATAGAAACAGTCTCGGGGATCGAAGGCTCTTTGACCAAGACCTGCTGGAAACGTCGTTCGAAGGCCTGGTCCTTCTCGATGTACTTGCGGTACTCGTTTAGGGTTGTTGCGCCGATACAGTGAAGCTGTCCACGGGCAAGCATGGGCTTGAGAAGGTTAGCAGCGTCCATGCCGCCCTCTCCGGTAGATCCAGCCCCCATGAGAAGATGCATCTCGTCGACGAAGAGGACAATCATCTCCTTGGACTCCTCAATCTCCTTCAAAACACTCTTCATGCGTTCTTCAAATTCTCCTCGGTATTTACTGCCAGCGACCAAGGCTCCGACATCCAAAGAGAGCAGCTTGCACGCTGCCAAGTGTGCGGGTACATCAGCGTCGACAATTCGGCGTGCGAGACCCTCGACAACTGTCGTTTTACCCACACCAGGGTCTCCGATGAGGACGGGGTTGTTCTTGGTTCGCCTCGACAGAATGCGGATCACTCGTCGGATTTCCTCCTCCCGACCGATGACGGGGTCAATCTTGCCGTCTCGGGCCATTGTTGTCATGTCGATCGTGAACTTCTTTAGATACTCATTCTCGTCCTCGGTGTCTGCCGTCTTAGAGTCCACTCGCTTTGTGCCCCGGATTGCTTGGATCGCCTGATCGATCTGCTTCGTGTTCGGGACGTTGGCGTCTGCGAGACAGCGCTGGACGGATGCATCTTGCACGAGGCACTGGATGAGGTGGTCGATGGCGATGTAGCTGTCCTTCTGCGTTCTGCTGAGCTCCTCGGCGGCGCGCAGCACTTTGGACATGGCAGGTGAAGGGGAGGTGCGCTCCGGCGGCGGATCTTGGCTCGGAAGACGCACCACGGCCTTCTTCAGCGAGCGTTCAAACTGCTGTGGGTCACCGTTTGCTCGCTCGATGACCTGGCGGAACATGGGCGGCGAGGCGTTGGTGCCCTGGTTGTGCTTGTCCGGTGCCGGGTCGATGAGAGAAACAGCGAGGTGGATGGGAGTGAGTTGTGCATGGGCATAGCTTTTGGCCAGCTCGAAGCTGTCAGCGACGGCCTTGGCTGCCCGATCCGTGTATTGATCAAACGAAGTCATGGTGTTGTAGTTGTTACGTTAGCAGGGACTCGATTCCTAGTGCAAGAGAGGGTGGGTTGAGTATGCTTTGGCTAAACAATGTTGAAAGACAGTGTTGAAGTGGGAGTCTATGGAGAAGGAAGAGAGGCGAGGCCGTGGCGAGGGTCGAGTCTCTTATATACGGGGGTCGTGACTGGATTCTTGAAGATGCGCGAAGCAGCCAGTGGCACCAGCAACTTTCTCGTTGTCTCGCGCCCAGTCGTGACGCTTGTCGAAGGTTCTGGTGCCTTCCAAGCATTTCACCGGAACCAACCCCCGCCGACGTCAGGCTGCATTACCCGATCTAGACCGAGACCGGCTAGACCCGACGTGTCAGCCCATCTTCCCATCTCGTAAGACACCACGGTCTGAATCCGCCCACACCATCGTCACTCAAGGCCATGCATCATGAATTCACTCTGCACTTACTAACGAGCCCGGCTCGGTGCAAGCTCGAAGCTCCAGATCATATCCAAGGATCACCGGGCTCCCATAATCCCCAACCATCAAGTATATTTCCTCGGAATATGTTCGGGATCTTAGAACGGCAGCTCGCAAGTTCCGTCTGCAAGTCATCTGTCTGCTCTCGCCCTCAATTCATCCGGATACCTTCTCGGAGCCTCATTGATCTTCGTTCCTGGTGCTACCCCGCAACCGGCCAGCAAATTTTCAGGAAATCTACATTTCCCCGCAGCTCAATTACGGCATTGTAACCTTAAGCTTGGAGCTTTAAAATGATGGTTAGGTATAAGTTTTCTTTCCTTCTGGTGTCATGTCCTTGAGCTTCGTTTGGTGCTGATACAATGTCTCTCTCAATTCTTTTCGCATTGCTTTTTGCAGTTTCTCCGGTAGTTGTCTCTCAGCATGCATCTGTTCCATCCAGCACAGTAGCTTCTACTAGCCAGACAAGTTCTGGGGCCTCTTCTTTTACCACAAGTGTGGAGCTGTCTGTGGAGGGTAAGCTACTACCTCTTTCCTATTACTCGTCAGTTTCTCTAGAATATGTATGAATCACTGCTCTTTTCGTAATGTCAGCTTTCGATGCTAGCTACTGTCTGTTTGCTCCGATGGAGGTTCCTCAAAAACTCTCATTCCGCACCCCGGCTACTTAAATCCCCTCTGTATTGAGCACTAAAACTTTCAGACCTCTGGGATCTTTACGTTGGCCCAGTTTCTACCTTCTCCATCAACACCACCGTCGAGCCTACGCCGATCCCTAGTAGCTCGCTGGTTCCACCGCCGGCTCTGTATTACCCTCCCTTCCCAAAGGGTCAGCAGGTCCCTCTTCAGCCTAAGAACGAGAGTTGGAAATTCCCCAAAGGCTTCTGGTATGGTGTTGCGGGTGCCGCATATCAGATCGAAGGCGCCGTAAAGGCGGAAGGAAGAGGGCCTAGTATTTGGGATGTGTTAACCCATCGAGTGGTGAATTACGTCTCCACAAATGATACGGGAGATATCGCAGACAACAACTACTACCAATACAAAGAAGACATTGCCCGCATCGCAGCTCTCGGCTTGAAAACATACTCTTTCTCCCTGTCCTGGTCGCGCATTCTACCCTTCGGCTCCGGCTCTATCAATGAACAAGCACTCCTTCACTACGATGACGTAATCGACACCTGCCTACAATACGGTATCATACCCCAAGTAACACTGTTCCATTGGGACCTCCCTCTCTTCCTACAGAATACATACAACGGCTGGCTAAGTGATAAAATCATCTCTGACTTCACCGACTATGCACGCATAGTATTCAACCGTTGGCACTCAAAAGTCCACTATTGGTTCACAGTCAACGAACCCATTGTCTTCTGTGGTTTCTACCCGCTTCCGGCAAATTACTTCAAGAACACGACCATTCCGCCCAAACAACAACCCTACGTCTGCGGTCACAACGTCCTCTTAAGCCACGCCTCAGCCTACCATCTGGCAAAGTCAATCAACAGCTCGCTCAGCGTATCCTTCAAGACAAACGGCGGATTCAAAATCCCGCGAACAGACTCTCAAGCGGACGCCGAAGCCGTACAGCGCGCCTGGGACTTTAACGAAGGCTGGTTTGCCAACCCAACATTCATTAACGGCGACTACCCAACCCACCTAAAAGACTATGTCAGCGGTTTCCTCCCCGCCTTTACCGACAAGCAAAAAGCGCAGATAAACGGGACTTGCGACATCTTCGCGCACGATGCGTACACTAGCGATTTCATCATGGCACCCGACGCCGGTATCGACGCCTGCATTGCAAACACCACAAACCCGTTGTACCCGGGCTGCTATAACACCACGAAAGTCTACGCAAATGGATACTGGACAATTGGCGCCGCTGGCGACCCGGGAACTCCCTGGCTTAACCAAGCCACAGACTGGGTTCCCTCTTTTTTGCACTATATGCAGGACACGTGGAAACCGCGTGGAGGGATTGCGATTACGGAGTTCGGCATCAGTGAGCCGTATGAGGAACTCCGGACGAATCTTGCGAGTATCTTGATTGATCCGATAAGGTCGAATTATTACAAGTCGTATCTCGAGGCTATACTTATTGCGATTGGTGAGGGTGTTAATGTGGTGGGGACGCTGGCGTGGAGTATTTATGATAATTTGGAGTGGAGTCAGGGGTACTCTGTTAAGTTTGGGATTCAGGTGAGTTGAATCATTTATCCCCTTCGAAGTGAGGACGGATTTTAGGATGAGGCTGCTAACGGTATGAATAGTATGTCAATCTCACGACACAGGAACGGTATTTCAAAGCGAGTGCCTTTGAGTATGCTAATATGTTTAATGTGTATCTCGAGAAGTAAGGAAATAGAGTTTCAAGGAATTGTCACCCGATTGCGTAAGGGGTGAGGCACCAAGGGTATTGGAAACTACAGCAAAGTGGAAGTAGGATACCTTCGTAAATATCTAATTTTACACCATATGAGGAAGCTCTCAGGGTAATATCTAATTCCCAAGGGATCAAGCAATCCTTCATCATGCGAACCGACCCAAGCGTCCATTATACTAATTCCAATTCAAGCCAACCCTAAGAAACGACTAAGCATTGCGTCGTTGGTCTGTCTGTAACAGCCATTTCATCCTCCATTACCCTCGCCTGGTTTTCGCGCCGCGAGCCGGCCTGGCAGCTGATGCAGTTCCGCATACATAAACACTAGGCGACGTGCAACGGCTTTTGCATGTGTGTCATCCTATTCCAAGGAATCCGCATGTGTCGATGGCAAAGAGTGGTTAGGATTGCTGACCGCTCATCTCCATCTCCTTCCTGTTCTGTCGCGTAGCCCACTTATCGGCTAACCACGTCACAATCGTAAGACCAAAGCTCGCGACGAGAAGAAGGAATACGGTCAGAGTGCCATATAGCGCGAATTTCTATCCCCAAAGTCAGTCATCATTCTCCAAGGGTGGAGTACATAATTCTAACTTACACTCTGCTTGCACAAGCTTCCAAAGCTGCCGTTCCCCATGTTCGCTGGCATGCCCAGATCCTGCTGTAAGGGCTGGCTATTCTTATACTTGCAGGTCCAGGTCTGGATAGTGTCAAGCTCGGGGGTGTCGTTGTTGAGGATGTGGGCGTAGATGACGGTTACGAGGGTGACGAGAGCGGAGGGGATTGTCGTTCCGATTGCGAGGAGGGCACGGAGGGTGGGACGGTTGACGAGGTTGAACTGGAGATTGTTAGCACCATTGCTTATTAAGGATAAGAGAGGGTTACGTACAGAAGGAACCAAAGCGAGGACGAGGAACACAGTTGAGAGCACGAAGACCGATGCAGCGCTTCCGATCAGCGCTTTTGTACCAGCGACGTCAAAGTGCTGTGGCCATAGGGGCAACCACCATGGATTCGAACTCTGCTGTTTGTTGAAGACATCGAGGGTGTGTGCTGAGGTACCCAGAATGGCGACACTGAGCGCAGCGCAGAGGCCGATGATAATGGCTTGTGCCAGATGGAGAGGGGCGGGATTGATCTTCATGGTTGTCGTGGATATGTAAATGGAGCTTCTCAGGCGCGGTATGGAGAACTGGAATGATCTGTTCTATACAAGAAGAACGATATATACGGAGTAGGTATCCAGAAGAAAGGAGTCAATCAGAAAGGAGGCCCAAACCAGGAGCACCCCGCAAGATCAAAACAAATTGAAATGAATGAAGGACCGAAACACAAAGCTTTTGCGAGCCTGAGCCTGATATACCGTTGTCGGTCTTCTTCAGATCAGAGCACAAAGGGGGGATGCTTGCACCCTTTTAAAACATCTTGGTCGCGTTGGCGGTTTCAAGCCCCTCCATCATCCCAATCCCCTTCTCGCCCAAAATAAGACCAACCCTTGCACAAAAGCCAATCCATCCGGATTGGAGATCCAAATACAAATCCCGGGCTAGACTGCCGGCGTTGCTGTTGTCATCCCGTTCGTGCCAGCGCGTAAGTGAGATGGAGGAGAACGTTTGGTGGAGGTCGTGCTTGGGCGACCGCAGAAAATAGCATATTAACTTGCATTCCCACATGACTCTAATCCTCATACAGCTATATTTGCTGACAATCAAGGTCCCCAATTTCCACGCCTGCAGATCGCGAGGCCAATAAAAGATCTGTTTGCAGATGGTAGGGCGGGTTTGAGTCGGCCCCAAGATGTACAATTAAGCACCGTGGCGCTTGTGTTCCGCCAACCGTTTTCGTGGTGAGGTTGGAGCTATACCTTTTCTAGAGAGGTCACTGAATGGTGATTGACCTATGCGATGGCCTGAAACGATTATGCATGTGACAAGGCGCTTGGGGGAGTGACTTGCAGATATTGATTCGGGAGAGGTTTCGGCGCTTATGCGGGGGCGTGATTGGTGTTTCAAATACGCTAAGACACAATGGCCGAAAATGGATGTTGGAGCTCTTTTTGGAGAACGATGAGGTTGGAGAAGACAGCGAACGTTTCGTTTGCTCTTTGGAAAGGGTTAAAGCATAGGAGGCCGATGAAAATCTTTTTGGGTGGGCGTGGATACAAAGACGTGAAGATCATTATGCTTCGAGTGGCCCAGGGACAGAGATAGTGAAGTTGATACCCTCCTGTTCATGCTGGAATGGGATTAGATTGTATAGTGTAAATATATCTACACCGTAAATGCACTCATAATAATTGACCTGTGAGACCTGCCCTGCTGCCGCCGAAGCCCCATCTCCGTCTCCTAGTGCCTTGTGTTGCCTTCAACTTTCCCTTCTTTGCAGTTTCCAATGGATGTTCTTGTTCCCAACGCTCGTCAGTTTTGTATGTGTTGACAGCTTGGTTCAGGTCATAGTCAGCTTGTTGGAGATACAACAATGCTACATCATATCTATGTCGAGGAGCAATACTCCCTTCTGATCAGCCATTTCATCCAGAATTTGAGACAGATGCGTCGTGCTTACTCTGGGACTTTGCACGCGACCATCCACTTCCTTACTTTACCTTTCCTGATTTCCTCCTCCTCACCCTCCAATGGGCGCGGACTTAAGCTTACACCTCCTTTGTAATATTCCCCGGGTATGAGAAGCGTCCGACGCGCCGCGAGCAGATGATCTGCATATAGCCCGTTGGTGCCTCGCAGGGCGCCCGCGGGTACACCATATCGCAATGACAGGGAAGCTATTGAATCGTTGTTGGGGTCTACAAAGTGCAGGACGTCGGGCGCTTGCTCTTCATCTTGGCCTTTGGGCTTCTCCGGCTGGGTTTGCAAAGGATTATTCGTGGAGTATGGCGGTAATTCATCATTCGCTTCTTTACTTATCGATGAGTGTCTGGCTTGATTGTGCGTCGGCGGCGAGTATGTAGGAGGGTCGCGCAGTCCCTGGGGTAGTGCTGACGCTACGATAGAGACCTGGCAATAGGGACAGTAGGTTGCAAAGCGGGGATTGCCTGCTACACAGTGGGCGCATACGACGCGGCCGCAGCATTCGAAGCGGTGCTCATGGTGTGTTGATTTCTCTATCTTCTCATCGTACCTAGGTAGGATAGAGGAGAGGAGCGACGCGCAGGTGCAGCAGGCTTCGGAGGACATAATAGTGCGACGGGCAAGTAGAAGATATAGAACTGCGATGAAGACAAGAGAATTTACAGTGTGATAATCTAAAGAAGAGGCGTGAGGGCTATGCTCGGGAGGGACTCGGCAACGTCATGACCTCGATACCTAGATTGGACAATCAGCGAATCGGCATCTACCTACGCGCGATTCGCTGTTAGCGGGACGGATATGATGTTGAGTCTCAAGTGCGACAGCTCGTGTGCAGCGGAATTGGCACAGGAAGAGAAACTAATCGATAATTACGATGAGTTCTGCGAGTTGCAGGCATCCTAAGCTTTGGAGGTGAGAGCTGCATGGGTGAATACGGCTCCAGCGCACGGCGTTCGGGCCGTCTCTTTGCCGAGCCCACAACTGAAATTCAGCAACAAAAACTTTCAAGCCTCTTCTCGACATCGCCAACTCAACGTCTTCCACCCATCCATTTACCTGCACTACGAGGTATGTTCGTTCATAATCTGTCCAGAGTGCCTTTCAGATGGCCTGGGAAAGCAATCGCACTCTCTGCGAGGGTGATACGCTTTCCCTCTGCACCTAGAGCTGAAGAACCCTCGCTGCGGGCTGAGGGCACTCTTTCTGGCTCTGGCTTCTGAAGGCTAATACGTTCACCCCACAGATACCTCAGTCGCACTCTGCCATTGAGAATCTCCCGCCGCCAAAATGGTCAAGACCTCCGTCCTCAACGATGCGCTCAATGCCATCAACAACGCCGAGAAGTCTGGCAAGCGCCAGGTCCTCATCCGTCCAAGCTCCAAGGTCATCATCAAATTCCTCACTGTGATGCAGCGCCATGGTACGTGTACTTTTACTTCCCTCTCGGGCTGATAACTAGGCAATGGTTTTGATTCCTCTACAACCTTTGCCCTTTAAGTGCCCGACAGATTAAGATTTTCAGCGAAGGACTTACACGTCTTCGGATCTTCTATGATGTCTGATGTTTATTTCTTCGCAACATGCTGATGAGATTATTTAGGCTACATTGGCGAGTTTGAGGAGGTTGACGACCACCGCAATGGCAAGATTGTTATCCAGCTCAACGGACGCGTATGTGCACCCTCTGTCTTACTGTAGAGCCAATGCTGACCTTATCCAGATCAACAAAACCGGTGTCATCAGCCCCCGCTACAACGTCCAGCTCCGCGATCTCGAGAAGTGGGTCGTCAAGCTTCTGCCCTCGCGTCAGTTTGGCTACATCGTCCTCACCACCTCTGCCGGCATCCTCGACCACGAAGAGGCAAGGAGGAAACACGTTGCTGGAAAAGTTATTGGCTTCTTCTATTAGGATATCACAATGTACAGTGGTGAATACCCAAGGCGTAGTCATGCTTAGCCTGCACGATGAGGCTAGATTAGAATTCAAAATCTGATGACAACTGATGAATATTGTTATCCCTTTTACAGCATCTGGTGACTTAAATGAATTGTAGTCCTCCATCCGAGGATATTATGGCGTCCTCTCAATTGTTCTTGATTGCAGTGACCGACAAGCATTACGCCAGTACTATTTAGTCTAACACAATAGAAAACATCGTGAGTCTGAGAGTGTTACTTGACCCAGCTTTCAACAGAGGGATTAATCCTACTGCCATGGAACTACAAAATACTTCACATCTGCCTTCAGACATTGGAACGAAGACTACGGAGCGGGATTGTGTGCCACGCTAGTTAGAAAACGAGAGTGCTTTAAAACTCTGGGCCTATCTAGTGGTTGATGTAGGAGGGAACTTAAGATTGAATACTCCAGCTGTTTAACAACGCGGCGATGCTCGGAGCGTTAAATGAAACGGGATAGATTGCATGAGGCTCTGTACTCACCACACCTTTTCAAGTGTGGAATGTTTCTCAATGCCCGCTTCTTAAAACCCGTGCTTCAGACACCGACGATGCATCTTCAAAATCCGTCCTATTGAAAAGTCCGAGCTAGGTCACATACTCTTAGCCAGGGCAAAGGCTAAATCCTTGCGACATATTCAAGGAGGTTGATTATCTTCATCGTTATGTCGATGCTCAGGTGGTCTGAGTCGATACCAAGCTTCACGTCAAGCTTGCCGAAGCTTTGTGGCTTCTGAATGAAGGAATTTTGGAGTCAAACACGAAGACAACTCCTACCCTACCTTTTCTCCAAGTCTGATGTATAATCCGCTTGTCTACATTCGCAGTGCTCCACATCGGAGGCTCAAACGCCGTCCAATCGTCATTCATTGTGGCTTCGCCCCGGATTTCCACGTGTGGAAAGTCGGTGTCAAAGCGGGCCGCCCATCCATGCTAACTCCACAGATCGTCCCCATTCATTTATCCACCAACACCAACCACTCTTCGGCCCTCGCGACACCGTTCATCGGCATTTGAGCATCCTGCTCACGGCTTATGACCTCTCAAAAAACTGGGTGTAGCAGGATCTTCCGAGGATCTTACTAAAGGGTTATACGTGAACATCGGCGTTCACAAGGCCGACAGCATGGCAGTTGGGAGCGGTAGGCCAAACACCCGGGAACAGGTGGCAATCCTGGATAGTGTATGTGGGTAATCAAGCTTTCATTCTGCATCCTGGCTCCGATCTTTTGGTGTTGTATAAAGGTGGTTACGCCCCGCTCAAAGTCGTATTCAATGTTTGGGTTTCTCTCTCCTCTGTTTGCTTCACCTCTCGTCGTGACCGTTGCTTTCGCGAGAGCCTCGTGATCTGATCCCCTTCCTCTCAAGACCGAGATCCCGATTACGGAACCTTCGCTCCTAGTTCTAGTTCCAGCTCGCGGTCCAGCAAGATGTCTGCCGATGTTGATGGTAAGCTCGCTATCGATCACATCTCAGACGACAATATTCCGACAACAAATGACCCTGGTCATGGCGCATCGCACTCAAAACTCGAACCACCCGCGATGGTTGCTGCAATGTCTCAGGAGCAGAGAATCGAGGCTGAGAACAAGTTGAGGAGGAAGATTGATACGAGACTACTACCGATGATTATTCTGATGTATATCATGAATTACTTGGATCGGAATAACATTGCAGCGGTGAGGTTGGCTGGCCTGCAGGATGAGCTCCAGTTATCAAGTACGCAATATCAAACGATTATTTCGATTCTGTTCGTAGGGTATATCTTGATGCAGAGTAAGTAGTTTGCCAGTTATTACTACTCCACAGAATACTAACAGAAATAGTTCCGTCGAATTTGTTCCTTAACAAGACAGGCCGACCAGCCATCTATCTCCCCACATGCATGATTATTTGGGGTATAATTTCCGGAGCTACAGGCGCCTGCCAGAACTTCGGGGGCTTGGTAGCATGCCGATTTTTCCTCGGGTTCATCGAAGCTGCGTATTTTCCCGGCTGTCTTTTCTACCTCTCGTCTTGGTACACTCGAAAAGAGTTGGGTTTTCGCACTGCAGTCCTGTACTCTGGGTCACTTGTGTCGGGAGCTTTCGGTGGTCTCGTAACTGCTGGGGTAAGTTTCCCATTCTCTCTCATAGCTCATGCTGACTTCTTACAGATTACAAGCAATATGAATGGCACAAAAGGGCTCCGCGCTTGGCGGTGGGTGTTCATCATCGAAGGCGTCATCACGGTTATTATTGCTTTCACAGCTTTCTTCATCTTGCCCAACTTCCCACGAACGACGCCCTGGCTCACGGAAGAAGAGCGCCAACTTGCTGTTTACCGTCTTCAAGAAGACGTCGGCGAAGACGACTGGACATCGTCAGCCTCGCAATCGTTCTTCCATGGCCTAAAGCTCGCCCTCCTCGACATCAAAACCTGGGTCCTAACTGTCCTCCTTCTCTCCATCGTCTCCTCCGCCTCCGTTACAAACTTCTTTCCAACTGTCGTCAAAACCCTCGGCTACGGCAATGTCGAAACCCTCCTCCTAACCGCCCCACCCTACGTCTTAGCAGTCATAACCACCTACCTCAACGCCTGGCACGCCGACCGTACAGGAGAACGCTTTCTCCACATCTCCCTCCCACTTTGCGTCGGCGTTGCGGCCTTCATTCTCGCCGCCGCCACCCACTCCACCGCACCCCGCTATGTCGCCATGATGCTTATGGTACCCGGCGTCTACACCGGATATGTCGTTGCACTCGCCTGGATCTCCAATTCACTGCCCCGGCCAGCGGCAAAGCGCGCAGCAGCACTCGCATTCATCAACGCAATCTCCAACACCTCCTCCATCTACGCAAGTTATATGTATCCCCAGCCGAAAGGTAAAAAGCAGCCAGATTTGACAATTCCGCTAAGTGTGGATTGTGCGACGGCGGCGTTGGCGATTATTATGGCGGCGGTGATGAGAATTATTTTGACGAGGTTGAATAAGAAGTTGGACAGAGGTGAGCATGTGGAAGGCGCGATTAATGGAGTGCCCGGGATTGCGCAAGAGTTTGGGTTTAGGTTTTTGGTGTAAGTTTGGGAAGTGCTGAGAGTCAGAGTGGGTGTGGGATCGAGAGGGCTGTGTTGCGGGATGTGTGGGATATAGATGGATTGGGATTCATGGTTAGTGCGAGAGAGAGATGAACTGGTTTCAATGAAATTTTTGAGCTTTGTTGATACTCCTACGATTTAGAAATGTTAGAGTCAATTGTGTTGTGACTTTGCTTCTGCTGACCACGAAACAGTAACGTATGGAGGATAACTGAGGGGATTCGGGGGATCCAATTTGCCGAACATAGCTGCCAAATCCTAGCAGATGCACCCCAGTAGTCATTGTAAATGTGTATGAACAAAGTAGTTGTAATTAATTGTAATTAATTGAAACTAGGTATTATATGTTGTAGATGGAAGGAAGCGCATAAGAACGCGTAGAGAATAGAAGTAAACTACAAGCTCTAGTGACAGGTAGCTAAAGTGGGTGGAGCATCTCGTCCAGGGTGGAGTCTTGAAAGTGGAATCGGGAAGGTGAGGGCGGTTGAGGAAATATTGAATGACTAAATATACCCGGTAGAAGAGATAGAAGTTACATAATAGCATGCTTATACCTATGATGAACCATTGATAGCACTCATGGTCATCAAATAAACCACCTACTAGCACACGGAGGCCCTGATGCATCCAAAACAGCTGCAGGGACTCTCTGCAATATCAACTAAGGGTGCGTACGAAATGATGCATTGAACGCTAACATGTGAAGACCACCATAGGTGAGCCCAGCAACGCTTATGCGTATGAGCATCCAAGTTCTACTTATGTTCCTCTTGCACTCTTCATCATTGACGGCCAATTACGAGCTCCACACACAAATGTATTGCATAGCTCAACTCGCATTTTATTCCCTTGACATATATTAAATTTACAAAAGCCCCCAACATGTATGCTTCCACCGCCGGTAGCTTGCGTCTCCCCGGGCGGAAGCTAGCCTGTCCCTGGTCTATTTTTGCGCCGTACACTCATATCCGGATAGTCGAGATTAAGGTAGTTATTAAACTTGAAAATGGTACTAGAAGAACACCCGAACCGTATTTTTCAAATACAAAAGCTTCATTGAAGTAGCTAGCGCGGAGGAATGGATTCTTTGGATCTCCACTGTAATTGTCGCATATTAGCGTAGTAGCAACCCTGATAGCGGTATCCTCACTGAGAGTGATCGTTGGCACTCTAATAACCAAGGGATTATGTCAGTATAGGAGGTATATTAGGAACATGTAGATGAAATGCCCGAAGTTGTTAAGTTCTAGAAGGCTGATAGGCTCCCACGTAGACTCGATATGCATTGTGCGCAGAACCATGCAGCTTGGAGAATGACAAGAATTCTGGCAAGACTATGCTCCTGCCTTCGATGGCAGATGGTGAAATTCTTGGCAAAAGTTCGGGAAACTCCTCTACAAAACGAATGCCTTTAGGAGAGATGGGGACAAGGTTATTTTTCATCATCCGGGTCGAACGGCAAGTACTATAGATCACTAGCCCAACGCTTGATGTCCATTAGAAATGGTCCCTTCACAGCGTACATGCTGTGAAGCTCAGTTCAAAGACAAAATTGAGTGCTTCACCGAGGGTTATCGCTTGGCAATAGCTGCAAATGGTTTTTGAATAGTAGGTAGACGCTATCCATCTTTACATAATAAAACAAACATTCATACCTCAATTCCTGCCTGAACATGTTCCAGTACCCGGTGGGTTGGCTTTTTGGAAGGATCTTTCCCTTTTACGAGTGGAAAGTTCGCTTTGAAGACTTATAGGCTCCCTTACTAATAGTGCGAGCATCCCGGAGCTCGTACCATACCGTAAAGTGAACTGGAAACAGTAATGATATCAGCCTTTGGTTTCTGTATTTCCTAGCGCATCGGGCCTCCAGCTTACCATTTCTAAGCTAACAATGGCTAAAACAGTCCAGTTAAGCTTCAGCCCGAACCTGGAGTCTTCCTCCATTCGCGACTTTAAATGGATCGCAGGGCAGACACAAGGAAACAGCGTAACAAGGCAGGAAGGGGAATTGACCGTGTCCACCTCTCAGATGGTTCTCGATGCCAGGCCGCCTTTTCTGAGGTTGAGTTGCCGAAGAAGGTGGGCCGGATAGAAAGATCAGAAGTACCCAATACCATGAGTCGGCTGGTGTGAATGGAATGTTAGAGACTAAAGACATAGTGTGAAAGTTCAGACCTGCGGCTGGGATTAGGCTGTGGGATCTAACTGAAGTCTTAAAGACACAAGGCTGAGATCTCCGGAGGCAGGAGGATCTGCATAGGCTGTAACTCTATCGACGACGAAAGATTAGTCGAAAAAGGACCTGCAAAAAAGTAATCATGGGATGGAATGTCGACGAATCAAAGAGCACGGCAATGAATAATGAAATAGAAGCAGTGATAGATAATCTTGACTTGCATATTGAACGATAAGTGCCCGCCCACCCACATTCAAGGGTACGGGCTGAGCATCCTCAATCACGTATGCGTGACTTATTTTCTCCTGCCAGAAAAATAACGTCCATATATAACTTGTTTCGTTTGCCAACCCATGCCGAGCACTGAAAGTCCGACTCTTCGCCAGCGGAGATCGAAATCTTACCTATTGTACAGCCGCTTATGCGCCAGACTTTACACCGCTACTTCTAATCTTCAATTTGGAAAGGCATCCCAGTCTATCAATAGGTGATTTCGAGGGAACAGAGTACTTCGACGTGACAATGGAAGTGTTGAGGGGAAGTTGAAACGATGCTAAGACTTCTGCTTCATCCGGTTCCACGGAATTTGCCGTTTCAGCACGTCTAGGTATTGGTAGGCCGAGTCAATCGGACACCGAATAAAGATTCCAAGGTTCACTTCCATCTCACATCGATCTGCGTTCCAAAACCTGAGCCCGTGTCTCATATTGATAAACCCTTTGGCGACTGAAAAGCCCTCATTTTGGTCCCTAGGACATGTATTGGGCAGTTCAACCCGCGCCAAGATTAGCACGTGATTGCGCTAGTGGGCTCAGCAGACCCACTCCGAAACTCGCGTCGCGTGTTCCGTCATCTTTCATCCACTCCATTCATCGACTCCATCATTTCTATCACTGCCAAACACATCTCTACGCACATTGTTGCCCACTTCGTAGTTTTCGCTATCCCGCCCGCCACACCCACTTCCCGGACAGACATGAAAATCTTCCCCACAAGACTGCATTGTTACGACAGTCTAGGCAGTCCGAGTCACTGACTTACCGACTCAACCTTTTCCACATTTAGACGCACAATGCCCGTCCTGTAAAGGTTACAAGTATTCACACTGTACAATAAGGACCCATTGGTTTCCTTCAACTATTTTATTCAGACTGCTTTTTCTCTCCGCACAACGACCTGGACAGGGCACGGAAGGCAACCATTGGATTTCTCAGCTGACGCCACGCCTCACTTTCCTTGACAAGCGCATCCTTCCCCAAACATGAACTTTTCCAGCGACATTTTCAGAGTTCCCCCACCAGTTGCTACACTCTCTGGCGACACGATGGATCATACAAAAATGGTCATGGCTTGTCGATTCGGCTGGTCCGCTGGCCCCGATACCCACTCCGGGTCCTCAACCCTTAGCACTCAATCAGCTTCGTCACAGCCTACTTTTACCAACACTTCGGCCGTCTTCACAACACACCGCTTTGCACCTTGCCGAGGTCGTCTCTATCACCAACTCACTTGTTCCCACCGCATCCGAACAGATATTGTAGAGGAGTGTGGTTCCAACTGCCTAGATCCCCCAGGCCCTGTCTCCAACCTCCCCTTCTTCTGCCACGAGTGTTTAGAACGGGAGTCGCGCCGAATATGGAGCCAGCGTGAAGCGCAGTACAACGAGCTATATCCCGAGCTGAGCCAGATGACGAAGGAGCAGTATGAGCATTGGTACACCGGGTACCGCCAGTTGGAGGCCCAACATGCCAAGGACCGCAGGGATTATGAGCTGGAGATCGAGTCTAAGACTAGGCCGAGTAATTTTTCTTCAGTCGTTGAGACGAGTAAGGAGGATATTGATTTTGCTGCCGAACTGGACTCGCTTTCCCTTTCTATAGTTTCCACAAATGATAGCAGCACCAATCAGCCTCAGCTTCATCCAAGGAGGGTCAGTCTTCCTTGCGATGCATCAGAGCAGCTTCACTGGAACCTGAATTCACTTACCCTGGGCCGTGGCTCATGTGGCGTCGAATATTCAGCTACTCAACCAACGAACGGCGCTCACACCACGACCAGGGTAGTAGATGAGGAAGAGCTATGGAGAAAGCCGAGGGACCACAGCTAAGTGGCAGCTCTATTGAACTGTTGGCGCAATTGGGTGTGGAAGATCGGCCTTGTCACAATAACCTTAGCAGATTAGAGGAGTACGTGCTCTTCTGACGATGCTGACTTACATCTGCAATTTATGACAGCATTGAAAGGCGTTGGATTTAATGTGGCGTAGAGACCTGCTCTCATTAGCAATAGTCAGAAAGCAGGTAGAATGTGTAGGTTGAAATCCGATCTCCCCGGTCATTTATAGCTATCTCAACCCCACAAGTTCTTTAAACAGAGCTAGCACTGGCATTACTATCTTGCCGCTAGGTCCATACCCGCATTTGAATCAAGTATTGTATCTTCTCATTTCCGCATGGATCACACATATCTCCCGTGTCTCTCGATATTTAGTTTTCTGGTCTTGAAGGACTCCGTCCTTCTACTTTCTTCGCCTGACAGCTATAAGTCTCCAATTGTTCCAATACGTCCTATCTACCGGTCCATTCTCTACAATAGCTAATAATGCACAAATCTCTGTTCTGCCGCGTCCATTTTGACTAAATATGTCAACATATTCTCACCGGGTTTACCCATCTATTGATTCTACATAGGATGCCTAGCATGGCCGCCTCCAAGATACTCAACGCTCTATTGGGATCATCCTATTGATGCCGGTGAAGAAGCAGTTTACTTCACTCGAACACCAGCACTGCGGTATGGAATCACACATTGTAGATTGATTCTTATACGCAATGGCCTTCTTCACAAAGATTAACGTTCGGGCGGTGAACTATATATCTTCTAAAGCATGTCCTTCCTCCTAAAAGTGTAGATCCTCATGTACTGATTCGAGTCTGAGCGCTGAGCTGGCCTCTTTGCCTAGCAATTTCTACAAACATCCTCGCTTCGTCCAGTCGCCATGAACCCTATCACTTACAGGAATGACGCCTTGGGATGGATATTAACAAAGATGTCGACCAGTGTATCATTTCTATCTCGCAGAGCGTCCCAGAACCACTGAATCCTAGAAAGATGCGAGAAAGATTGTTAGGAGGAATACAAAGTGGCAAACTTCAAAGGCAACTACCCCAAGGTCATCAGTCGGATTGGGAAAGCAAGGCTCGATGATTCTAACTATCGAGTAGGTATGGACCTAAGTGACACGACGCCATCCAAATTTTCAAGCACCTTGCAATTAAGATGTCACGAGGACGACCCAATGAATGCTCACCAAAATAATCTGTTCTGCAGCCACACCTTCAAGGCTGACTCTCTCCCCTTAGCTTTGCTGTCAAAGATAAGCATGTCTCAAATACCCTCATTGGATGTTACATACACGCTGTGCGCTACTGTGCAATGGTTCATAAATGGCTAAGGAAGACAAATGCCGCATAGAACGCGGTGTTATGGAACTTGTAAAGATTTCCGCTAGCGGAGAGCTCTTCTCTGTTAGCATCCTATCTACATATCCATAGACGCTATCGTGACCTGCTTAATGACGGTTCAGTGGTAAATCTGTTATCCGCTCTAAAACCCGCTTCCTAAGAGCTTGTAGATTTTAAGTGCAAACTAGCCAGTTATAAGGGTTAGATTAGGGTTACTATAAGTTACTGGTTAACATAGCTCTAGCGCTCATTGTTTCCACGCTCTAACGTCTCGATTCGTTCTTTATCCAAGTTGAATTCTCTCTCAAACCAGAGATCACAGCAGGAGCTATGGAGCCACTTTAGGGTTCGTCTGTCATTGTACTAATCAAGACCGGATATCCGTAATGCAAGTACTTTTGATGTAGGGTGCGGGCGCCCTGTACAATCACCGTCTAGCATCTACTTTATTTCATAGAGCAAATGCAGTACCTTTGTCTTAGTAGACTTGACCAAAGCTAGCCACTGATCCATTTGGTTTAAGGTTTGCTTTGTAGGCCTTATTTTTTTTTTAGAAGGACAGATCTCTGTTAGCTCTTTTAGGGTGTGAGTGTAGGTAAGAACAAGCACTGTTTCCAGGAAAACACATTCTAATTAGATATCTGCTGAATGACCACTTTTCTTGTAATTAAAGAACTCCAGAACGCCGTATCTTAACATCCCACGTTCCCGGCTTTTACTAGTTCTTGCGGGATTAGATGTGAAATCTTTAGCTACGCTGTAAGCCATGGCCCATCTTGCAAGAGGAGAATGTTAGATAGCTTGATATCTTTGTGGTGGATATTGTTCTGGTGGAGATACACCATATCTGCAGTCAAACAGCTGAAAGTAGACCACATTCGCTCCTCTTCCTGCTGACCCACTCCGGGCACGCCCTTCTGTGGAGGCGAATTCTATAAAAGGTGAGTTAGCTGACTGGAGGCATAGCCGAATTGGAGTTGGATCGCTCACAGGTACAGCCCCAAAGGCCACTCAAATTAAATTACACAATGGTAATTAATTCCGTGAGGCGGGATTATCATGTACGAGCCTAAACTAGTGATCGCCTTAATCAGCGGTACCAACTTGCGTAGTGACACTTGCATGAGGTTGCTCGCCACTGCAGACACAAGGCGGATGACAAATTACAAGCATTATAGTAAGGCTCTAAGGCTTGGATAAGACCCTCTTATAAGTGCTAAGAGTAGTGAGAGCTTGATAGTAGTGCTGTAGTAAAGAAACATTGTTACGTAACGTACTTCATGGGCGAGTTGCTCACACACCCGAGTCGCTTACTTTTGCCAAGACCCCACTAAACCACCCTTCCTACACTAATGCATTCCCCACAACACTACTTAGACGCGCTAAAAGAACGTTAGATACAGCTTACACTCTAAGCTTTTAAATAAGACATAAAACTCTTAAAGAAATGTGCT